ACTGCACGATTCCTCCTCTCTCGCTTCCATGCCTCCGACGCATCGTCGCCGTCCCACCACCACCAAAATCAATGAAAACCTTCCAAATCTACCGCCGACAACCAAAACTAACCACGGCAAGCCCGCAAATCAATTTGAAAGATGATGATGATGGAGGAGAGAGAAAGGCATATGGGGGGTTTCGGAAGTGATGCTGCAACAAACTAGGGTTGCTACTGTCATTGATTATTTGAGATAAGAATTGAGGAGTTGTGATTGCCGTTCGATTTGATTTTCACCATGGACGATGGTGATGATGATCGATGTGTTTGGATAAAATGTGAAGCAGAACAATATTTTTACCAGTCAGGTAATGTTTAGGAATTGTATTTTTTATATCAGGTATAAGAATATTTTAGTCAGGTATTAGAGATTTTTTGTCAGGAATTACAAAATTTTAGTCAGGATAAAAATTTGTCTATTCCTGATAAAAATAGTCTTATTCCTGATAAAAATAGTCCAATTCCTGACTATAATATACTAATTCATGACTATAATATTTTTATGTTTTTGACCTGATAAAAATTAGTATATTCCTGATGAAAAATACTCTATTCTTGATGAAAACTACTCAATTCCTGATGAAACGTACTCTATTCCTGACTATAATTTAATAATTCCTGATAAATTTGATAATTAATTATTCTATTCCTGATGAAAAGTACTCTATTCCTGATAAAAAGTGTTCTATTCCTGATGAAAAGTACTCTATTCCTGATAAAAATACTCTATTCCCAACTATAATATATCAATTCCTGACTATAATATCTCTACTCTGATAATTGACCGGACTCATGTGAGTCCGTTCTACACAATACTTTTCCTTTTAACCAAAAAGCTTTTAAAAGATTTTTTTAACAAATTTTCCTTTAATTTAATAAAATATTCTTACAACAAAACTCATGATGGTCGGCCGTATTGATATTTGAAATATAATCGCGATCGGAAGTGCAAACCGAGAGGTTTGGTGAATGTGATACGGAAGACACACAAACCAAAGCCAATGCATGTCCTTCTTACATCAAGGTTTTTATGAGATCAATAAAGATGGTTGAAAGATCTATGCAAAAAATGATGTACCTACATCATACTACCTATGACTCATTATGTTACCGTTGCGGGCCCGTTGCACGGTTACCGCACCCACTCGAGGGTTCGTGTGATTGCTACTGTTGGTAGGTCACATTTCATCCATCTTGATTTTGTATCAGGCTTCCCCCCTATTGTAGGCTATTGGTTTAAGAATCGTGAGACAAGTGTTGCTGAATGGGAGCAGCGATATCGCTGATATGAGAGTGAAGGAACATGTGAGATTTATTAGTTGCACAATGATCATTATAATGTGATTATGTGATATAATTTTAGTTTTAATATTGTTAGTTATTGATGTATGGAATTGTTTTTCTAAAGCTTAGCTTTTTAGTCTGTCCCATCCAAATATAAACATATATAATAAAAGGAAAGTTAAAGGAATTAAATAATAAAAGAAGTCCAAGGACAAATAATAAAAGGAAAGTCAAACAACTAGTAATAAAAAAAGTTCAACGACAAAATAATAAAAGGAAAGTTAAGCAAATCTATATTATAATTGTAGAGTGGTTTTTCCAGCTTTTAACCACAACACTCCAAAATCCAATCTCTCAGTTCTCATTCACTCCCTTTTTTTTTTCTTTTTTTTTTTGCCCTATAAATAACTTCCACCTATCTTTTTTTTTTTAAAAAAATAAAAACCCTCCAAAAAAAAACTTCCACTATTATTTTTCCTAATAACACACACTACCCCAAAAAATACCTACGTTGTCCAATTTTTTTTTAGAAACACCAATATTACAATAATTGCACATTTTTTTTTCCAAAATTACGTGCACTTTTTTTAAAATAATAATATCGCCACCATAAGTTCCACTATTTTCCTTTTTAAAAATTCTTCTAATTGTTTATTTATATTTTTTTAAAATCAGCTAACTACCTTATTATTAATTCAATAATCATCGAAAAAAACATGTACATAATGTATTTTGTGCGACACACGTTTTTTTTTTTCGACAAGCCAGCAGTGGCACTAGAATAACCCATTATAATATTGACGGAGTAACCCCCTATAACACAAAACGCACAACCCTTATAACACTGGCGGGATAACAACTATAACGCTGAACGAGTAACCCTTAAAATATTGATTAAATAATCCCTATAACATTGACAAAATAACATTCATAATAGCTAGCTACACGGTGTATCCAGCCACATAAAAGAGCAAGTTACTATATCACAAACAACTTCGCGTATTTAAGATATATTATTGTTATTAGATCTTTGTAATACCTTTCTATAAAATATATATCCCGTGCATTTTGCACGGGTACACTCTATATATCGAATGAAGGAAAGTTGATTTGTATAATATATAAAATATATCCTGTGCATTTTGGTAGTTAGCTGATTTTAAATATTACTAGAGTGTACCCGTGCTGATGCACGGGATATATGTAGTATATATATTTAAGAGAAAAAAACGGTAGAAGTGATAGTTATTAAAGGGCAGCTATTGGGGTTTTTTTTTTAAAAAAAAAAAATAGAAAAAATAGAGGGGTAGATTTTAATTGAGTGATATGGGTAGTTATGAGTAAAAATGGTGGTTATTGGTTATTTTAAAAAAAAAAAATAAAAAAAAAATAGAAGGGCTAGAATTGCAAGGATGTGAATTTGGAGTGCTGTGAATGAAAGTTGTAAAAACAACTCTTAAATTATATACTTCCTCCGTTCTATTAATATTGCAACAAGGAGGAAATTACGCATCCCAAAGCACATTTTATATGCTAAATATCTATAATTGTGTAAGAGTAAAAAATTATAAAAAGTTGATATTGTGAAAATATTTTGTGAGACGAATCCAACAAGATCCACATGACTATATTTAGCTTAACGTATAAATCATATTATATGGTCAAACAAGAGTGATGAATAGTGGAAAAAGTCCATTGTTTCAATATTAATAGAACGGAGGAAGTATAAGACTAGAGGGTACCCATACAAAATGCACGGATATATATATTATATTAGAAAGATATTAAATACTACCTCCGATTTTTATTAGTTGCCACGTTTTGACTTTAGCGCTATTCACACATCTCCCTTTGACCATGTTTTGTGATTTATATGTAAGGAAAAATATAGTCAAGTGAGATCTTGTTAGATTTTGTCACAATGTATGTTTTCATAATATCAACTTTTTATAATTTTTGCTTATCGGCAATTAAAGATATTAATAATTTAATTTGTGCATTGACAAACGTGACTAAAGAAATGTGTCAACTAAAAAGAAACGGAGGAAGTATATAATATAAGGAAAAATATATTTTTTAAATACTTGAAGTTGTTTTTGATGTTGTAACTTAGACCCTGTTCTTTTGAGCTGCTCTGGTCTGTTGTGGACTTGTGGTTTGGTATGCTCTGCTAAACCCTACTTAGTTATACTCTACTGAGCATTAATAATCTGCTGACACTTGTTATGCCTGTTGACACTTGCTCTGCTCTGCTAAAATATGATGTTCTTTGCTCTGCTTAGAAGCTCAAAAGAATAGGGTCTTACTCTTATATGTCGGTAGCCATGAAACTATTTTAGGATTGTCAAAGCCATAGAGTTTACCGTCAGTGTTATAGGGGTTACTCGGCTAGTGTTATAGAGGTTATTTCATCAGTGCTCTATAAGTTCCATTGGTCTTTTGCAAGCAGTTATTGGTGAGGCCAGTCACGCATAAAGAGTGTTGCACATTTTTTTGTTTTGATGATTAGAGAAGTTGTTTAGAGGGTAGTCCCTAAAAATGCATATAATTGCTATGGTGAATTTTTGATAAAGGAATTGTATACCCGTGGTTGGTGGCAACGCAATGTGGCCAACTATTATGGGGTTTACTTTGTCAAAGCTATAGAGGTTATAGTGTTTTAAGGGTTACTCGATTAATTAGTGTCATACTTTGATCTTTTACAAGCAATTATTCGGTGAGGCCGGTCACTTCAAAGCGTGCTACACAATTTTTGTTTGATTAAGAGAAGTTGAAATTGTTTAAAGGGTAGTCCCTAATAAATGCGTATAATTGAAGGGTTGGAAATTTTGAGCGCTATGGTGATTTTTTGATAAATTTGGTAAAGATCATACTAACATTACCTTGAAAAATCAAACAAAAATCCAGGAAAAAATAATCAGTACTCATAATAATCGATCATGCATAAAGATTTAAATTCATAATAATCATCATAAATACTTAAATTTAGAAGAAACATAAAGTGTGTAAAAAAGAAAAAGAGAAAAAAAAAAAAAGACTAAAATTTAAAACGGAAATCTTTAACAAAGTTGCATAGATTATGTATCAATGCTCTCAACAAATCACAATTACACTATGACATACCTCATATTATCCAATTAATCACAAAAGTACAATACTTTGTATAAGATTATAAATTTATCAAAACCCATACCTGAAAGGCATATTTCATGAAATGGTTATGGAATATAGGGAGATGTTGAAACTGCAAATTGTATTTGTTTGTTAATTTTATTTTTTAAAATTTAAATTTAAATTAGATAGAAATTTTGTTGGAGAAATGGAGGGATTAGGTAAATAGGCGGGAGTGAATGGGGATTTAGGATTTGGCTTTTGGAGCAACGTGGTGAGAGTGACTCTTAAATTATATATAAGATTCACTTGTTTAGTCTTTTTTAAATACGTTTTAAACATTATTATGAATGTATAATTTTAACTATTAATATTTTTGATAACCGAAATTATAAATTACAAAAAAATTCATGTTATGAAAACCTTGAATAAAAACATCACGTTCTTCATAAGGGTATGTTTTCTCATAGTAAAAGTTGTTTAAAAAAAAAAAAGTGGTTAAAGAAACAAATAATGTTGAAAGTCCTTGTCAATCAAAAAAAAAAAAAAAAAAATGTTGAAAGTCGAAACATGTTAAGTAAAAAAATTGGAGTAAGCAAAATGTATACAAACCAAGTAGGCACACAATCACAACATTTCTCAATTGTCAAATTGTCATAGTTCCAAAATTTTCTCCTACCTTTTCTCTTCTCAATTACCCCTCTCTTTTGGAGTGCAACTTTTACAGAAAAACACTCGAAAGTGCAGAAAATCGGTGCGCAACATTCACACAACAATGGCGATGACAATGGACTCTGAAGAATTCGCAATCGGATGTGTACTCTCAATCAAAACTACACTAGGCGACGAATTCGAAGCCCAAGTCATCACCTTTGATCGAGCTTCCAACGTCCTCGTTCTTCATATCCTTCTCTTTCTTCAATTGATTTCTTCCCAATTTCATGTTTTTTTGCAATTAATTGATTTTGGGGTTTGATTATTTTGTGAAATTTATCTGGGTTTTGATTATCTTGAGCTCCTTAACCTGGGTTTTTTCTGGGGTTTCACAAGAGGGTTCAAAATCTGGACCTCGAAAAAATTTGAGGTTGTTGAAGGCTAATTATATTAAAGAATTTACATTTTTGCGCCAAGCTGAAGATCCCCTTGATCTTAAAAATTGTTATCTCGATCTTTCTTCTCTTCAAGCTAGAGAGGAATCTGCTATTAGGTTAGTATTTTTGTTGGGTGTTATTCTAGGGATGAATGTTTTGTTTCATTTTTTTTTTTGTTATTTGATGATTTGCTGTTAATTGTTGTTGTTCAAGGCAAGCGGAGATTGAAGCGGAGAGGATTGGAGTGGGAGTGACGGCTGAAGCTCAGAACATTTTTGATGCTTTGTCGAAAACGTAATGTGCCCTTTTGATTCTCTCTTTGTTGATGTGATATTTGAGTGTTTAATTTTTCTTTTGTTGAATTGATATGAAATGGCATGCATCTTGTAATTGTTAGTTTGTTACTGCATAGTGAGGATGTGAAGAAGTAGGGGTTAAGGGAGGTTAGTATGTATGCAACCTTAGAAAGGCGGCTTCGGAATAAAAATTTTGAGCCTTTGTCTAGTTGGTCTAATATGGTGTCATTGCATAACAATGAAAGGTCACTGATATGTTATTATATTCCTTTTAATAATGGTCTTCATATAAACTTCAGTTGGTTTTTAGAAGTTGAACCTATTGACTAGTTGGATTCTCGAGCAGATTTTCGCTTTGCTTGAATGAAGCCTGAATATGAATATGTTGTCTGGCTGTTATATTCTTCTTAGGGTCATTGGGGGAATGTTTTAGTGTTGAAGGTACGAGCCTGGAAAATTGCAAAAGGACCTAGGAATAACTGGTGTATAAGTTTAAAGTGGAAGAATTAATTGCTTTTGGCACTTCTCAATGGATTAAGGTTATGAAATTGAAAATGTCTTATGTATGCTTGTTCTAGTCTTGACAATGTTAGGGCCTGTTCTCATTGATTGTGCTGAGCTGAGCTGAGCTGAGCTGAACTGAAATGAAATGAATATTTTATAAGAGAAGGAAATTAGTAGCTGAGCTCAGCTGAACTGAATTTCAACGTAAGAGAACAGGCCCTTAGTTAGTATAATTAGTTTTCTACATGATTGCATGTGAAGACTCTAAATTGCTTCCTCCCCATATATAGCCGAACTTAGGTTTTGTGTGGGACAATTTTTAGCTTGTTCGATTTTTATGTAAACCAATATACCGATAAACTTGACTTTGGAGGGAAACAATATTAGTCCCGTATATTTTTTGTGAACTTATTTAATGATTTAGAAGCTTGACTTTGAAGGTTGTAGACACTATGCCATTTAAGAATGGTGATATTTGTGGATGGAGCTTATAGTATGAGATACATAAGTTTGCCCAATTCACATGTCCCATTAAGTTTAATTACATTGCCTCTCAAGTGGAGGAGCTCCCTTTTCTCTTGTTGGATCAGAACGCAAAGATCGTTTACTAGGTGATAAATTCATTGAAATAGCTATTTGACTTCAGGCAATTGGATTCGGAAAGCTTAGCTTGATTGTTGAAAGTTCCTTGGATGCATCTCTAGAATTACTTCCTCCATTTCATACTACATATCATACTTGCCTAAAATGGGTGTCCCAAAACATGTTACTCAGGACTTTTCTTTTCTAGTTAACTCATTATCTGTGTGTGTGTGCGTGCGTGCGTGCGCGCGCACGTGTGCCATATGCTATTTTGAAGCTTGAACTACAATTTGGGATGGAGGAGTACTTGGTATCTCTTTTGATCTTTATAGATAAGAGGCTAGACTACAAAACATTGGAATTCTGTAGTCTTGGAGGAACCTGGTGGGCTGAAACCTGTTGAAGTCAAGTCTTGTTATGAAATAAAAGAACTGAGAACATGCCTTCTTTATCCAACTTATTTTCTTAGTTAGGGAAGCAGTGAAGCACCATTGCCATAAAGGTTCTGGATAAAATTCACCACATTTCTTTTCTCTGAAGCACCAATACATTCGGAGTAATAAAAGATTTGTTCTTGAAATGCGTCGATCATATATAAAAGGTCACGTATCTCAAAATTTTATAGAAACTTGTATGTTATGCATTTGTGCTAAATATTCAGAAGAGGGCAATGAAATTCATTATGTGCTTCTCCTCTTGCCTTTTCTCTGTGTTGTTAGAATGTTAGATTCTTTTTGCTTTTCACTGCTGTGCAGCTGTATAACTTTTCACTTAAATACAGTCTACCTGTTGAATGCAAGTTTAAAAATAGAACATTGTTTTAGTTGGAGATGTATGTTTCAGTGCTCTAATATGGGTTTTTATTTTTAGAATTCGAAGACATGTGTAATAAATTAGTTGGGACAATTCTGCTGATTGTAGATCATTTTATAGCAGCCTGCATTTCTTTTATTAATATTCAAGTTTGCATTCTAAAGCATTAACAGAAGAATGATTGAAATCAATAATTAAAGGACATCAGTACCCATACACCCCCCCCCCCCCCCCCAAAAAAAAAAAAACAAACCCAATATGTCCGAAAGATAAAGTGTAATTTGGCAATCAATAAAATGGCAAGTTGTATGGAACTTTGGAAAGACCATTAGTATTTTTTGACCTAAACTGAATATACATGTAGGATTTTAGAGCATCACTCATTGTGTTTTTTTAAGAAAGAGAGAGTAGATTATGGGATAATTTTGCAATGGCCACAATAATTTGGTAGCCATTGTAAATTTGTAATGTTTTGATCATGACCATTTATTTTCTAATGTTAAATCTTCACCATCTATTTCATTGACTAAGTTACTACCTCCGTTACATATTAGTTGCAACTTTTGCCATTTAGGGGTGGTACACATTAGTTGCAACTTTCTATTTCTTTCTTTTTTTGGTAAATTTTTTCCTATAAAATTACTAATTTACCCTTACTTAAAAATTCATTATATCAATTACATAACATAATCTGATTACATTAAACCCTTTATCCAACATCATTAATTAAATGATCCCCACCAAATTTACTCATCAACCAACCTCATTCGGTGAACCTAACCAATTCATTGCTATTTTTTTCAGATTTGGGGAAATTTCAAAACCCTTGTTCATCTGGGTTCATCTTCTTCCTCCATGAATTTCTCTCTCCTTCCTTGGTCTAACCCAACAAATCCTCACACTTGCTCTGTGATGTAACCCACGATTTTGCTTGAAAAAAACCCACGAATTTGACCCACCAAACCCACAAATTTGCTGGAAAAACCCACCAAACCCACAAATTTGTTGAAGAAGCCAACGAAATTTTCTGAATAAACCAACAAACCCCCACGAATTTCTTGAAAAAACCCACGAAACCCACGAAATAACTTACAAAACCCACCTATTCCTTCAAAAGCCGACAATCTCCTCTCAAAACCCTCAAATCTACGATTAAATATGGTGAATTTTAAGCCACTAGTAGACACAATCTTTGGGGGTGAGTGACGGTGGTTGTTCTGGGTTGGTTTTGGCTGCGAGGGTGCGAATTCAAGGTGGTTTAAGTTGAGAGGGGGGTAGTTTTAGGGAGGTTTGGGCTTGGAGAAGGTGGTTTTGTGGTCTTTCAGGTGGAGAGGGAGTGGTTTTACGGTTGTTCGGGTGTGTGTGGCTGGTTTCAGGGTGGTTTCGGGTAGAGATGGGGTGATTTCACGGTGGTTCGTGTTGAGATGGGGTGATTTCACGGTGTGAGGTGTGGTTTCAGGGTGGCTGGTATTCAGCTACGGTGGTGGGCTCGGTGCTGTTGGTGGTGGTTACTCATTGATTAATTACCTTCATTTTCTATCTCCTGCCTTAATTATCTATTCTTTAATTTATTAATCTACCATTATGAAATTTTGTCTTAAAATCCGTGCCGGGCTGAAAGTTGCAACTAATATGTAACGGAGGTAGTATAAATATTTTTTTACCATGAAAACTTCATTAATCTTTCCCCTTCCTTTTCATCATTTTTGAATCTAATTCATTGATGCTCCTCTGATCTTTATCTCTTCAACCTCTGCTCCATATAAGAACAGTGGTGGGTAAATTTCCACCTTAATTACATCAATTAATGACAAAATCTTTAGATGTTGTTAATGCTTGTAGTAGCGGTTAAAAAAAAAAAAAATAAATAAAATCATGGAATACATGTATTATCGAAATCGCTGATTGGGTTTTTGCTTAATCACTTTTGGGAAGATTGATTAGTGCATCTGTACTACAAATCTATAGAGGTTTTTAATTGTTAATCATCATCGTGTGTGAATCGATAGTGAAAATTTTCTGTTCATAACTCCGTTTTACAACAACAATATTGCAGTTTTCTTATTTAATTTTCTTTCTCTAAGTCAAATATATAAAAGAACGGCTGAGATTGCTTCTATAAAATTGAAGGGCTAGGATTACATATAATTACAATGGCTACAAATTTAGTGTAGCCATTGAATAGTCATCCGTAGATTATGTTGAAAGAGAAATCACATATTCAAATGGGAATATTGGAATATTTTTGCTGTTGAGTAGGTAAAGAGTTTATTTCTGAATACGAAATCCAAGGAAGAGATTCTCAGGAACTCATTTTCTCCCAGCCGACGCCGCAAGGTCTTCTAATATTTGAACCTTGTGTGCTATGCATGTGGAAGAATAGGTATTTTGCATGCACTTGGAATCTTAGATTATAGCAAATAATCACTGCCTTCTTTGGATAAAATTGTTATTCTAGTTATTTTACTTGTTGAATGGCATATTTAATTTTGGAGACACGAGCTTAGTATGGTAGCAAAGAGGCATGACTCAATAGATAGAAGAGTTTGTATCTATTGAGTGATATAGTGATTGTTTGGAGATAGATCACCCCATTGCTGTGGTTGTACACATCTTAATGATATTATCTGTTTGAAACCCTTTTCACTTTGCCTTTGTTTATCACCGGGTAAAGTAGCCCAAAGATGGAGTTGCCTTAGATGGAGCTGCTAAGGTTCTTGATGGTTTTTTGGCCCTTTAAGACTACTAAGAAATGGCACCAGGACTACACCTGTGTAATTCTAATATAGTCTATCAGAACTTTGATGCAAATCTTTTTGTTCCCCAACATATATGATGTCATGCACTGCATACCCCTAGCAGAACTCCCTGAGTAATCGAGTATGGCTATATTGGTGCATTTTTGATGATAGGTTTGATGCAAAACACAAGTCTAGAGGGAATTTGATGCAAGTCTGCTGTAGCATCAGGGAATTATGAGCTTATGACTGATCATTTTTTGATGGTGAGGTTGTCCTAGGAGCCTATTGTAGTATCTTGTAATGTAATAAGCTACATGGAAATATTTTGAATTTCACGAAGTCTTGTAGGAATATGATAGATCCTGAATTGCTCAGGAAACATATATAAAAGGTTATCTGGAAGTGGATAACTTATAAAGTAAAGGAAAAGTGAATGGACTTGTCCAAGTGCCATTTAATGGCCACCAAGTGCATCATAGACTAGACTGCATGCGTCTTTAATGACCACCAAGAGAATAGACTAGACTACATGTCACTTGATGGCCTTCGAGAGTATAGACTAAATGATAGGTTTATCAGAGTTGGATTTATTGGAAAACTTTATTGTTCAATGTTTATCTGGCTTTTCTTAGATGATTGTGGAAAATGAGCTATACACAACTACTACGCAAGTCCTTTTTGCCGTCCTTGTACAGTTGTATGATAGGGTCTGTTTGGTGAATGGGATGACTGATATAGAGAAGCGTGCCAAGAAACCAATTTTGGAGGCTTTTTACTAATGTTATCCTTTTCTCTTGGAGATCCACAGAGAATATTATTGGAATTAGAGGAAAATTTCACTTTTATATACCAATTACTGGGGTTATACATTAGGTCAGATTTTAGATTTGCTTTTGTCTGATCGTTATATCGTAGGACTTAAGTTTTGAACAAGTGGTTGTTTTGTTGCTTATTATGGTCAGGCAAAATGAATTTTAAAGGTTTTCTATAACTGGGTAACATTTTTAAGGAAAAAGTGAATTAAATACTCGGTGTCAGTAAATGGTCACCAAGAGCATAGACTAGATTACACGTCACTTATTGGCCATCAAGGGCATAGACTGGACTGCATATAAGATTGGCTGATACAGAAAATGTCCATTGTTCCATGCTGTCATGGGTTTTCTTGGACAATGTTGGAATGTCAAATGTATAGGCAAGTCTAGTTTCTGACTTGTGTTGTAAGATAGGATCTATATTGGTGAATGGAATCACTGATGCTAAGAGAACAGTGCAAATGATTTTCATAGAAAAGAATAGGGGAAGTTTGGCAAATGCTGATGATGGGCTATGCTATGATTTATGTTACTGATGTTGTGATTTGTATGATTCTATTTACTTATTCTATGATTTATGTTATCTATGCTCTTTATAAGATCTAATGAGAATATCTATATGTTATTTGGCGGAGGTTCTACTCTTGGGTTACCACACTTATGATTGACCGTGTTCCACTGAAGGACTTTAAGTTTTGATTTTAAAATTGTTTTATTGCTTAGGAAAAATGTATTCTAAAGGTTGCCTAATGCCTAAAGGTAACCTATTAGATATAAAAGAAAAGTGGATAAAGTCCTCAAAGTGTCACTTAAATACTTAATGGCCACCAAGAATATAGACTAGATTACACTTAAGGTTGACTGCATTAGAACAATCTTGTTCAATGTTTTTATGGCTCTTGTTGGACTGCAATGGAACTTGTAAATACATAGTAAAATCTAACCTTTTCTCTAGCCTCCTAAGCTCTATGGTAGGGTCTATGTTGGTGAAATGGGATGACTAATTTTACAAAGAGTGCAAGGAATAGTTTTGGAAATAATACCCTTATGTAGAGTTAATGACCTTACTGACCCATGTTAGCTCTGAATTGAAGTTTGAATGACAATATGAGACTAGACTTAGAAATTGTAAAATTCTAATCTCTCAGATTTTTATCTGTTCTCTTTTCTGAATCTTGCTATGATTGTATTAAATCTCTGTTGAATTCAGTATTGCGGCTTCAAAGCCTTCCAACCTAAGATACTGCTATACATATATAAGGACTCTCCTACCAATGCTATATACCTAAGAAAAAGACAAAGGAGTAGCTGCCATGCAGCTGTCATATGACTGCAAGCAGGCTCAATAAAGGCAAAACTGACCTCCACTGGGGAAAAATTGGTGGGATGCCTTCAAGTGATTGGCTCATAGCTCACTATGATTTTTTGAATTATGAGTATATAAATGATTTCACTCCAAAATAAAGGTCATACATTGATCTTGTGATACATTTTTCGGAGGTAGCTGGGAAAACTTTTCATAGTTTAGTAGAATTTTCAATATTGATAAAGGTTTTAGGTCTTTGGATCATTGGATGTGCTTTCATTGGAACCATAAATGATTGGATTAAAAAAAGCTCAATTAGTAGGTATAACTTTTGCTCATGAGACATTTTAAATTTGATGGAAATTGGAGTGAAGCTCACTTGGGTTGCATGCTCATTTGTCCATTGAGAATTGATCACTCTAAGCTTAAGAATTGTTGCATTGTAGGTCATGATGTTATATAGGTTTGAGCTCACATCATATTTACACTAAATGACATTGTTTGCTGTTCTTCATACATAACAATCACTCTCTTATAGCCTTGGTTTAATGTCACATACGTTCCAAATTTCTTAGAAGATAACATGGCAAAGCAAGTCTTCTATAGGTAGTAAATATCCTTTATATTTCATTATTTTGTTATGTATAGGTCCTTTAGTTACCTTCAAGGGCTCCAACATAGCTTGGATGTATCTGGATTGTTAATTTGTTATTGATATTAGCTATACTGTTGAAATTATTTGCTCAAAGACTCGTTCTGAAATCTGAATTTTGTGTAATGTGAGTATGTTTCCAGCACTTCCGAGCAAATAATGCAATCCCATTGCTGCTTTTAGCTGATTAATTCGTAGAGTTGAGTCGGTCCCTAATCTTAGAATTTTTCTTGCACCTTCTGCTGGGGGTATCCACATTCATTGATGTTTATGTAGGCTTCCTGTGCGCTGGGATAAGACTGTTATAGTTGTGATGGATCAAGTACGAGTTAGTCATCCATATTTTCCCGAATCTGTTTCTGGAGGTACTCCGGTAGCAAATGAGCGTGTCAAGAAAGTGGTAAGACTAACCCAGGCTTTTGATTTTAAGAGAATGAGCGCTTTCTATTTTCATCCTTTTGCCTCCATTAGTCTGACTTGTGCTTTCGTCTCATTCTTAGCTTGAACTTGAAAGGAAGAGGCTGCATGCTCGTGGGTCATCTTCATAATCTTCTCACCTTGCTGATATGTGTATCTGCTGTGGGAAGAGCACCAAGGTATGCATTAGGAGGGTTTTTGTCATCATACCAGAATCTCTCTATGATTGTGTTGCCTTGGTCCAGACACTGCCGAAGCACATATGAATGAAGAAAGATGACTTTTCACGCATTGTTTCTTGTAGCTGATGTCAAAGAGGGCTGGCGTCAATCGAAGATCTTAAATGTCATTACAGTAGATCTAAAAATGGCATGGAAAATGTTTTGCTTAGTGTCACATATCTCCTGTTTTTCCTTCTCTTTTGTCAGGCTATGAGGGTATTTACAGGACTGAGATTAACATCTCAGATATCATACTGTTGGAAAATAGAATATTTGTTCAGTGAATCGAACTTGCATTAATCGATTATGATGTATTGTGTGGGAGTATAGAGCTGAGGTTGCAGGGAAAGAACAAGACCGTTTTATACATGACTTGATGAGAAATTTGCATTCAGGCTAGTCTAGATTGATCCCTTTGGAAATCAGGATGAGACTTTGAGAAAGGTGGAAACCTCAATCTAGGAAAAATAAAAAAGGAAAACAATGGTAGAAAAAGTCGCCATGTTACAAAAGTTCATGATCTCTTTTACTCCAACGAATCTCTGAACTTAATCCCATAAAAATTCCACCATAGAAATTTATCTTTACAACATATTTATTCACCCTGCACAACACAACCACCAATTCACAAGAGAAGCTTTGAAGAAACTTGGAGACTTGAAAGGTTGGAGGAAGAAGTGGTGGTGGGATAGAGAGAGGAATCAGGAGTGAGAAGAATCGTTCTGCGATGCATAGGGCGGTGTTGATGTCTTTTAGGGAAGTAGCAATGGAGGGGTTGAGGAATATAGGATTATAGGGAGGGACGGAGGGTGGGGGTGATTTACGATGCCTATGACTTTATGAGCTTGTGGTTGGTGGTGCTATAAAATTTAGAGCTTTTAGCCTCCCTGATTCTTGATCATCATAGTTCTCTAACAATCGATAGTTCGAGGCTACTACTAATGGAGAAGCTATAAGGGCTTGTTCACTTCAGTTTAATTTCAGTTCACTTCAGCTTTTAATTTCTTTTGCTTATAAAATATTCAGTTCAGCTCAGTTCCAATTAGTTTAGTTTAGCTCATTTCAGTATATGTGAACAGGCTTAACTCTTAGCTAGAGATGAATATGCTACGGAGTCGGTACATATATTGCAAATTCCTGCATAGGAGCAAATTTATGGTTTATGCTGTAATAGCCATACTGTGTAACAATATAAACGATTAATTCATGCTAACTGATATCTAAGCCAGTTTGCATTATGATTAGTCGATTCTTTAAGGTGTAGAATGTATGCTTCCTTTTGCTAGCTCTTTACTACTCTGTCTTTCATTGATGGTACTCGTAAGTGGTAACACTTAAGGGCCTGTTCTCATACGTTGAAATTCAGTTCAGTTTAGCTCAGTTCTGTTCAGTTCAGTTCGGCTCTTAATTTCCTTTTCTTATAAAATATTCATTTCAGTTCAGTTCAGCTTAGCTCAGCTCAGTTCAGTTCAGCTCAGCTCAGCTGAGTTCAGTCAATGAGAACAGACCCTTACTCATTTGTAACTCTCACTTTTTGTCTTTTGATCTATTTCTAATATTTTGCAACCTTTTTTTTTTTTTTTTTTTTTTTTAATTAAGACCTACTAATATCTTCTATTCGACTAACTATGTGTGTACTGTTATTTTATTACTCCGTAGTCCGTACTTGTATTTCTTTTTCACACTATCCTATTTGCATTTTTTTTTCCCAAACATCAATTAGATGTATCTCCAGTACCCCACTATACTAATTATTGCGGAGTATAAAACCAATAATTCTTCTATTCGACTAACTAATTATTGCTTAGTCATATTGCTTAGCCCCTTCGTTTTTTTAAGTGTTACATTCTAATTGTCATATACTCCTTTCGTTTTAAAATACTTGCTCTACTTTTCTTTTTCAACCATTTTTAAATTCTTGCTCCATTTACTTATTTAGAAATATTTTACAATATTTAATTAATATACCTCGCCTAGTGGGCCCACCATAAATCATGTTATATTAATTTCATATTCTCTCTCTTTCAATTCTCTCCACTACTTTTACTTTTTACAATTTTTTATTCTTCTACATATCCCACTACATCCATATTTTATTACTTTATCCAATTTCTCCTAAAACTCCGCGTATGGAGAAATTGGATAAAATATGGAACAAGTATTTAAAAACGGATGAAGTAGTTTTAGGTGAATTAATTGACTTTAAGGGTAAGAAAAAAAATAATGAACTGGTATATTATGTGAGAGGGAAAGGAAAGAAAAACTATTCACTGTTGGAGTTGTAATATTTGTAATGCTAATCGGAGCTCAAGCCTTCTAGCGACGTCGTGTGTATTGTGTAAGGAGCTAGCGAAAGAGCTATAGCTCGCAAGGAAAGTGAGCAATGGTAAGGCCGAGCTATAGCTCATGTGCGAGTGAGCTATAGCTCAATGCTCTTTTGCTTGCGATAGGGGCGAGCAATAGCTCGCTCATTAGCTAGTTGTTGTTGTTGCTTGCGGAAGGGCAAGTGTGTGCTCGAGGGATAACTCATTTCCCTCTATTGCTTGCTGCAGAGCCGAGCAAGAGCTTGATCCCTCGATTGTACGTGGGCGATAGATCTCAATAGAGAACCAGGGGAGGAGTCTGCCGAGCAGAATTAAAGACCTTTTTTGCTTAATTTATTTCCTTTCTTTCTACACATATTTATACTCCTTAGCCCCCAAATTGAGATAGGCAGTTTTTTTTTTTTTTTTTTTTTCTCTAAATCCTAACACATAAACACAAGTCTATTTTTTGAGATCTGAATAGTTCTTAAATAATTCTACTCTTTGGATTCGAGTGCACGTATTACAAGGAGAGTTGTGTAAATATTGTGAAGCGTTCGTCATCAGGAAACTTGTATCGGTGGTGACATTTTTTTTGCTTGTGATGCAATAGATTCTGTTCTGCATGAGATCATCCATCAAGTATTTTTCACTTTCATCTTCTTTATTTTATTATTGGAATAATTAGTTATTTTACCAACATTTCCAAATGGATTTTATGTACTCCGTATATACTTGTGGGACCAATTGGATTGGTATGTAATTGCCTTTTGAATATTGACAGTGTGAGTTTGATTTTTAAGCTATAAGACATTGTTGAATGATGTTACACTTGACACATAAAAAAGAAAGATCCCTCAAAGATTTTCTATAAACTTACTCATGGTAACTTGATTGTGGTACTCTACCGTACATGTTTTATTTTAATTTTCCAAAGAAATTGTTCTTCATCTTCCTCATAACATTTACGCTAAACTCCAATGCTCAAAAAAAAAAAAAAATCTAAAAATTATGAATGTTCATACTTGGTTTGATGACCACCGTCCTTGCCGAGTTGCCGTCTTGCCGACATCCAAAAAAATTACTTGCTATGTACTCGCTTTTGTTTATTTATTTATTTTTTTTAGAATTTTTTGTTTTTGTTTGTTTAGTAAAGTTTGTTATGCTACCCTGTTCTTTAGAGCTGCTATGCTCTGCTTTGTCTAACTCTGTTCTGCCTTGTTCTGCCCCGTTCTGTACTGTTCTGCTCTATTAAAATCTGCTCTACCGTAGTGTGTGGAAGCCCAACCCTACTATGCTCTGCACTGCTCTACTCTACTGAAAGCTGCTATGCTCTGCTTTGTCTTGCTGTGCCCAGAAGTTCAAAAGAATAGGGTCCGACAACTTAGCTTTGTTACCGTGTAAAAAAAAAAAACTTGCTTTGTTACTTATTAGGAAATTTGATGGAAACTCACTGGAAAATTGATTCAAGATGAAACTTATCTTCACGTAATTACCTCTACAAAACTTGATAATAAGGTTAGAGAAGTATGATATGGAATTGAATTTTTCTTTTATTGACGGGAAGAAAATTATCGTTAATGAATAATCATACAAGCATGTTAAAAAAAGCTATACTTATAAGCTAAGTATCTCACTTATTTGTTTATAATTAATTTTTTTTAACCATTTATGTTTTATAAAAACTTCAACAATTTCATAACCTTTTGTGTACAACATATTTTGAGCATATTTATAAAAAATTCAACAATTTCATAACCTTTTGGGTACAACATTTTTTGAGCATAGCTCTCTAAAACACACTGTCTGAAAATTTATTTTGCACTACACCGAAAAAATCCCTCAACTAAAATATTAAATGAACACAAATACACAATTAATTAAGAAAAAAAAAAAAAAAACCGAAAAGGAAAAAGCAGCATTGGCTAGTGTCCCACACTAGAAAAGAGCGAGCAAAGCAAAGCTAATTAGCAGATGATTATTATTCATCATTTTTGTTACACCTTCTCTCAAAGATATTCCGTTCTTGCGTTGTTGTACCAAGTATCTTAATCTCCCATAAGGTTTTTTTTTATTTTTAGTGTGATATAAATTTATTTTTTAAAATTTAATAATTATAGAACTTTCATTTTTTTTTGCAATTAGACATAAATTTTTACAATTAAATAATAGTCTTAAACTAATGATATATATTGAAAATTACCTTAAATGACAAAGGACCTTTTTTTATTTTGAAATAAAATTGATTCATAAATAAAGTCATACGACATCTACAAAGAGATTTAGATCTAATGAATACATAATAATTGAATCAAATAAAAACATTCTGTAAGCAAAGCTACGATCGTTGTTGCAAATCGTACATTTTTCATACCCTCTTTCATATCGCTATGATTTAGAGCCTTCATCGGTGAGGGGGTCTATCGATCTGTTGTAGCCGTGCAGAAAATTTCCGTCTGATTTGCTAGATTGTAATCGAAATATTAACCTCTTTTTCGATCCCGCACAAAAATTTACCCATGAAACAACTCTATACCAATCCATAAAATAAAAAGGGAAATTCTCTTTGGTAAACCTCTAATAATAAACATTCTCAGTGGTCAAATGCAAAAAAAAGTTATTACCCTTGGTGAACCATGTTTTATAAAGTTTTATCAATGATAACATTAAGCAAGGTAATTAGGCATTTCTTAACCATGGTTAACCATTCTAAGTAAAAAAAAGTTGTGATGCCTAAAATACCCCCATTTTAAAATTAATTAAAAAAAATAAAAAAATAAAAACCACCATCCTGCCACCACCTTCCCCACCATTCGCCACCATTCCCTCTCCCCCTCCCCCTCCTACACCAAAACCGACGCCGGCACCGGCGCCCAGCTCTACCTTCGCTGGTGCGCCGGCCTCCCCTGGTGACGTCCCGCCTGCCTCGCCCCACCTCTTCTCTCTCTCCCCCTTTTTCGACCCTTCCTATTTTCCCCACCCAATGCCCACCGCCGATCACTCTAACCACCACAAAACCGGCGCCCTTCCCTGACGACCCCCTCTCCCTTGTTCGCTTGCCAAAAACCCTAAAAAACCCCAAAACACCAGAAAACACCCAAACCCGTTTAAAGTTTCGAAACCAAACCCAGGAAACGGGTTTCGGTTTTCTGGTGGTTTTGGGTAGATTTCAAGGTTTTGTGGTGGTTTTGTCGGGGAGGGAGTTCGTCGGGGAGGGGTGTTGGTTTTCGTGGTGGTTTTGGGTGCGATAAGGGCCCGACGAACGGTGGTGGGGGAACTGGGAAAGAGAGGTGGTGGGGAGGGTGGTGATCGATGGGGGAAATGGGAAAGGGAGGAGGAACGGGGCCGAGGTGGGGCGTCGCCGGCCGGAGGTAGTAGAGGACAGGCGCCGCCGACCGGAGGTAGGAAGGCAAGCCGGCTGGGGGTTAGCCGCCGGCAGTGGTGCTGGTGGCTAGGTGAGGGTTTTTTTTTTTCCTTTATGTTAAATTGTATTGAATAATATTAACTGTAAATTGTATATCACATAAACGGCCGCATACAAATATATATAGGCTAGGTTACTTGGAGGGCAAGACCAAAATAACCTAAAGATATTCACAAAATACTCTAAGATATATTTCCCAAATATTCACAATCTTATCTTTCCTAATAACCCCCCTCAAGTTGGAGAGTACGGATCTCGGACACCCAACTTGCGAAGTAGAAACTCGAATTTAGCTTTTCCCAAAGCTTTTGTAAAAATGTCGGCCAACTGAACCGTCGTAGGAACATACGAGGGTATAATCGTCCCATCTGTAATCGCATCCCGAACAAAATGATAATCTGACTCGATATGTTTTGTTCGTTCATGAAACACTAGATTATGCGCAATGTATAACACAAATTGACTATCACAATAAAGGTGCATCCCATTCTCATGTCAAACACCTAAATCACCAAGTAGTCGCTTCACCCACTTTAATTCACAAGTCGTCGCATTCATACAACGATATTCTGCTTCTGACGAAGAGAGAGCTACAGTAGGCTGCTTCTTGGTTTTCCAAGATACAGGGGACAAACCAAGAAGCACAAACCAACCACTCGAAGATCGTCGGGATAGAGGACATCCTGCCCAATCAGAATCACACCAACCTTCCAACTGCAAAGCACTATCAGATCTCAATAAAATACCATGTCCCGGACTCTTCTTCAAATATCTAACAACTCGCTGAGCTGCTTCCCAATGATCAATCCTGGGTTTTTGCATAAACTGTGACAAAATGTGAACTGAATATGCTAAATCGGGTCTCGTAACAGACAAATAAATGAGTCGACCTATGAGGCGACGATATTTCTCAATATCATGAAAATACTCTCCCTGAGATAGTGCTAACTTGTGATTTTGTTCCATAGGGAACTCTACAGGTTTAGCATCAAGTAAACCTGCTTCAGTGATTATATCCAGCGCATACTTCCTCTGGCAAATAAAAATTCCCTGTTTGTTCCGGGCTACCTCTAGCCCCAAAAAAATTTCAACACTCCAAGATCTTTCATCTTGAAACAATCTCCCAGATATGATTTAAAACTGAGCATAGCATTTTTATCATTGCCTGCAACAATTAAATCATCCACATACACTAACACGTTAAGCTGTATTTTACCCTTTGTCAGAGTAAACAAAGAATAATCATAATATGACTGTTTAAAGCCATAATTTTTCAAAGTTGTAGTGAGCTTTACAAACCAGCATCGAGGAGCTTGTTTAAGCCCGTACAACGGTTTCCGCATCCTACAAACTTTGTCAGAATTATCTTTCTCAAAACCAGGGGTGAATTTTCATATATACCTTTTCTTCCAAATCACCATGAAGAAATGCATTATGAACGTCCATTTGATGGACTTCCTAATTTTTCATCGCCGCTACTGCAAGAAAGGTTCGAACAGTCACCATTTTTGCCACCGGAGCAAACGTCTCATTGTAGTCTAAACCTTCAACCTGATGATTGCCGAAGATGACTAATCTTGCTTTTAATTTCTGCAAATTTCCATGCTCATCTTATTTCTCTTTATACACCCACTTGCTCCCGAGTGCCTTTTTACCAGGTGGCAATTTTTCTAGCACCCAAGTACCCTGTTCTTCAAGTGCCTGTATCTCATCTGCAATTGCCTTTCTCCAACCCTCGTGTTTCATGGCCTCCCTGAAACTTTTGGGTTCGTTTCCTCCTGTAATAGCAGCAATATATTTTCTATGTTTCACAGAAAACCGGTGAGAATCAACAAAATGTGTTATAGGGTAAACAGTACCTGAGGAAGACGATGTCACGAGTGAACTCTGAGTAGGTGTAGATGGACTTTTATTTCGAATAGTATGCGTCACAAAATCACGGAGTTTAACCGAGGCATACTTCGGTCTCATGCCTTTACCCAAGGCACCATCACTGCCACTCTCGGCCTGCTGTGAAGGCTGTGCGTGTGGCACGGGATGTTGGTGTTGCTCGTCTCCCAGCCTGCCCCCCAGGGGCCCTGCACCAGCTGCGGCAGAGGACCCAGCTTGCTGATCTTGGTGGCTGGCAAACCCCTCCGCAGGCTGGCTGCGGGCAGCCTCTTCATGCCGCAGGTCAGCTGCGGTGTGGTCTGTCCCACCATCTTCACACCCCTCATCATCTCCTAAACGACCCTCTACATGCCCCTCAACATCATCCAAATGCCCCTCATCCATCACACTAGCAATTTTATCATCACTCGCCTCCTCATCTTCGCTCACCAATCTGCCAGGAACAAAAATAGGAGGTGTAGGTGGAGTAGTATATGGGAATTCTTGTTCCATAAAACGCACATCCCTTGAAACAAAAAGTTCTTTGATCTCTAAATCATAGACTTTCCACCCTTTTTTCCCGAAAGGATACCCAACAAAAACACACTTCCTACTTCTACTAGAAAATTTATCCCCTTTAATTTACTCCGTAGATTATATGCAAAACATAAACATCCAAACACCCTAATATGCTCATATGAAGGTTGTTTATTGAATAAAATTTGAAAGGGGGTTTTATAATCAAGTAATCGCGAGGGGGTTCGATTAATTAAATGACAAGCCGCTTGCACACACTCCCCCCAAAATTTTATGGGTAAATTGGCTTGAAAACGAAGGGCTCTAGCCACATTTAAAATGTGTTGATGTTTCCGCTCAACTCTCCCATTTTGTTGAGGTGTGCCTACACAAGATGCCTCAAAATATATGTCATTCTTAAAAAAATACCCCTTCAAAGAATTAAACTCCGTACCATTATCACTACGCACAATTTTAATTTCTTGAGAAAATTGACGTTTCACAATAGCAACAAAATTATAAAACATGTATTCAACTTCCGTTTTATTTCTCAATAAATAAGTCCACACACCCCTAGAGTAATCATCAACAATAGTTAAAAAATAATAAGAACCACAAGACGATGGAGTCTTGTAGGGTCCCCACAAATCTAAATGCACTAGCTCAAATATCCGACTAGCTTTATTTTGACTCAAAGGAAAGCTACTCCTATGTTGTTTTTCCCTAGGACATACATCACAGGATTTAAATCTACTACTACGACTCACAAACGGAAGTTGCTCAAGAACTTTTCCCGAAGGATGCCCCAAACGTTGATGCCACAACTTTGTAGATTGATCCCCATCCGTCTTCAAAGTCTTCACTGTTGGAACACCTCGAAAATAATAAAGTCCATCCACACGTTCACCCGCTCCAATCACCTTCCTCTTCGTTAGGTCCTGAATAACACAAAGTTTGTTAGTAAATTGCATAATACAATTCGATTCATCACTTAATTGAGTTGCGGAAATTAAATTGCAATTCAATTGAGGCACATAAAGAACGTTTGTAATCATCAAGCCGCCATCCAATATGATTGTGCCTATTTTAGAGGCCTTAGCATACGTTCCATCCGGCAATCCCACCGGACAATGAGTCACATTAGTCACATTCGTCAAATAAGAAAGGTCACAAGTCACATGATTCGAGGCTCCGGTATCAATTATCCAACCCAAGTCGTTCTTACCGTGCAATTTGGATTTAAGTGAGTTTAGATGATCAAGGAGCTGCTGAATCTGAGCTGCCGAAACCCCTGCCAAAGCTGCCCCATCACTCGAATTAGGAGCAGCAGAGCTGCTGCCCTGTGAACCAGCCTGCCCACTAGTTTTGTTGGCACGCACAGAGGAGTTCGTCCCTCTGCCTCGCCCCCCTGCACGTCCTCCACGACCTGCAGCAGCACCACGTCCCGGGCCATGGCCTCCTCGAGGCCTGTCACCCCACCAATCAGGAAAACCGTGCAGTTGAAAGCGCGTTGCCTCATCGTGCCCTTCACGGTTACAATGCACACAAAATTTATCAGAGGTGTCACGAGTTTTGACCTTCGGTTCGTATTGAAGCTTGAAGGCTACAGCATTATCACGAGTATTATCACGGGTTGTTTCACCCCCACGCAGCTGCTCCGCCTGAACCAATTGCTGATAAGCCCTGGCCACGCTCGGTAGTGGTTCTTGCGCCAAGAGTTGGCCTCGAATCGATGCATAAGCATCGTCCAAACCGATGAGAAAGTGATGGACATAATCTTGTTCTCTGATCTTCTCAACCTGTGCGACAATGTTACACGTGCAGGCACCACACGAGCACTTCGGAACAGACACATACAAAGTCAATTCATCCCAAATTTTCGATAATCGACCAAAATACACAGCCACTGCCTCATTGGACCCTTGCTTACATTCACCCAACGGACGCTTCAATTGACACACACGAGTGCCACTGACCACACAGAATCTATTCTTCAAATTCTTCCAAAGCAAGCAAGCATCATCATAATCACCAATCGTGGAGCGGACAATCGGATCCAAGGTATTTGACAACCAAGAAACCAACATAGATTGAACGACCACCCAATCCTCAAGCTTCTCGGATTCAGTCGGTTTCACAACCGTGCCATCAATAAAACCGAACTTCCTCTTTGCCTTTAGAGCTGTCCTCACAGCCCTAGCCCATTCATCATAATTATCACCCTTTAATTGAATAGGAGTGATCACGTTGCCCGGTCCATCACTCGAACCTAGGTGAAAGGTCAAGTCGACCTTCGATTTTCCTTCATCCCCTGGCATCTCTCAAGCTCACGCAAAAAACAAATTGAATTGATTTATGAAAATCACTCAAAGAACTCACAAATACGAACTATATTTATGAAAAATGAAGCTGAAAAAAAAAATTTGTGGATCTCACAAGGCTCTTGATACCATGTTAAATTGTATTGAATAATATTCACTGTAAATTGTATATCACATAAACGGCCGCATACAAATATATATAGGCTAGGTTACTTGGAGGGAAAGACCAAAATAACCTAAAGATATTCACAAAATACTCTAAGATATATTTCCCAAATATTCACAATCTTATCTTTCCTAATACTTTAAAAAAATATAAGAAGGGGTTAACCATAGGGTCAAATTAGTCATTACATCATTAGTTAACCATAGTTACGCTTAAAATGCCTAATTACCTTGCTTAATGTTACCATTGATAAAACTTTTTAAAACATGGTTCACCAAGGATAATAACTTTTTTTGCATTTGACCACTGAGAATGTTTATTATTAGAGGTCTACCAAAAAGAATTTCCCAAATAAAAAAGCAAATCCTCCCTCAAAAGAGAGAAGAAAATCCCAGTCTTTCGAAAGAGCCAAATCCTCCTTAAAAAAGAAGAAAAACCTTGTCTTTCGAGGGAGAAATATTCCTCCTAGAAGAGGGAGAATTATTATAAACCTAAAACAATAGAAAAAGCACAAAAAACAAACAATTGGGGCTTTCCACCGATAAAAATTGATGGAAGCCCCTCCAAAATTCAACAATGGAGGCTAGGGTTTTAGAGAGAGAAGAACGTGGCAAAGGACCTAACTTAGTTATATATAAACGAAAGAATTGATATAATTATGAGATAATATGATGTATCTAATAATTAACATTGGCTATGTAGTCAAAATGTAACAATAATACAGTTGAAACTCGAAATTTGAAGGTCATTTTGTACTTTTCTCTTCTATTTTAACCTTAAATTAAGAGCTTAATTAAGCTTATTAACTTTATTAGTTTATCATCCATTTTTTTACTTCATGAATATTATGGCAAATTGGCAGTCTAATGATTTCCCCCCAAATTAGAGGGATGAAGCAGTCCAACCAATGTCACAAATATACATATTTAATTGCTTTATTGCTGGCTTTGAATATTTGGTGTATCCACTGATAAATTCTATAATTATGAACCGGCGCAATGTCGCATTAGTAATCAAAGGTGCTTTTTATAAGAATATTTGCCTTGAATATTATTGATCACCCAAGTCAATTATATACAAGCTATAAGCCTTAATTAGGCTTAACTATAGGCATAACTATAGGCTACAAAATAGGAACTAATTGATAGCCTTTGACTATATAATTTACAAGATAATTACAAACTAATTACTATAGATTATTTACATAATCTAACACACCCCCGCAGTCGAAACAGGAGCTTTACGAACGCTGAGACTGGCCCGAAAATCATCAAATAAGACCTTAGGAAGACCTTTAGTGAAAATATATGCAATCTGATATCGGGATGGGACATGTAAGACACGAACTTCGCCCCGCTGAACCTTTTCACGAACGAAGTGAATGTCCATTTCAATATGTTTAGTGCGTTGATGTTGTACCGGATTACTAGAGAGATAAATGGCACTAACATTGTCACAATAAACCAAGGTTGCCTTTTTAATCGGACATCGTAGTTCTAACAATAAGTTTCGAACCCAACATGACTCCGAGACAACATTTGCAACCCCCTTGTACTCTGATTCGGCACTAGACTTTGACAAAGTGGGTTGTCGTTTAGAGGACCAAGAAATCAAGTTATCACCAATGTAGAACAACGAGTGTGAGGACACCCGCCCCAATCTGCATCCGTATAAGAAATAAGTGAATCTACGGATGTGTAGACACCCATTTGTGTCTCCCCAAAACCAAACCCAGTGATGAGTACCTTTCACGTCGAATCATAATCGAATGAAGCGAAAGTGTGGAAAGTCTAGTGTTGCGGAAAGTTTTTATTTCTTTTCTCTTCTCTCTGTTTTTGAAAACTTATTTTAAGAAAATAGCCAATCCAGTTTGGTTGGTCCATGATATGGGTCCAATAGTATTGTAGTTGGATGGGGCTTGACAAGAGATTTCCAACGATATATTATAAGCCCAATTCCGATGAACAATGAGGAAGTTATGGCCAATTTACCAAACTGGGCCCGTTTTGAGCTTTATGTGCGGCCTAATGATCTAGAGGAGGGCCTAATATGATTTATCATTCCTAATGCAATTAGGAATGGTTTTAGTCTACTAGATTCTTCTAGAAGGTTCTTTATCATTCCTAATTCAATTAGCATTGATAAATTGACTTTTTGTTGACTTTTCAGAGTTTTAATCAAAATCAAATAGCATTTTCGAGGAAATTATATGATTTTATCCTCCAGTACGGCAAAATTATATGATTTTTCGAAAACGCGTTAAAATCAGGCTTGGCGCCTGGAACCAGGCCTGGCGCCTGGCGCTAGTGTTGGTGCCTAGCGCCAGTTAGCCAGGGTTTGCGCCAGCTCTGTTTTTTGTGCGTCAGACTCTGTTTTGATATTTTATCTTTTTTGGCTGATTTTCTCTATAAATAATGTATTAAAAACTCCGTTTTCATTCACCAATTCTCACGAATTAACCAATTCTCACGAATATTCACCTACAATCAGTTTTCATTCATCATCAATTCTCTCTCATTCTCTTCTATAATCATCTCTTTCTTTCTCTTTCTAAACTTGCTTTTCAAATACAAAATTCCGCATTCACAAGGTCTAGAAACACCTAGCCATATTCGAAGTTGCCTTCGCCTTAGACGTGAAAGGTTTAATTTATGAGGGTTTGGTCCCAAATCTCTATTTCAATTATTTAATTTAACTGTTTGTTTATTATTTTCCTTGAAGTTACTAACGTGTGTATTTTGTTATTAGAAAGAGGTACGAGGCATCAAAGTAAGTGCTTTAATTGATTTTATTGATATTATGATGTAGAAATCATGTTTATATTGTTATTATGATATTCCTAGTATCATGTTTAGGGAAAAGGTTATAATATCAAATATGCTTATTATGATTCCTGCGATGTCTTTTATTCTCTTCCTAATATTTACGATTGCTAGTATCATGTTAGGGTTAAAGATTTGATTTTTATTTCTTAGTGACATGCTAGGGTTTGTTATTAATCTTGTTAGTATCATGCCTAGGATCTTGCTATTATTATTACGCTTTAATATTAACATGAACATGATTATGAATATAATTGTTATAATTTATGATGATTATGAATGTTATTATTATTATTATGATTATTATGATTATTATTTTTATGATTATTATTTTGATGATGATTATAATTTTATCATGATGATGATTATTATTATGTTGCTTGATTATATTTTGTTATTGCTTGATCACCTTTTATGCATGTTTAAAGGAAATCTATACTTGTAATCACGCTTAATAAGATATTAATAATCTTGTTAGGGTTAATGTGATTATAATTCAAGTGATCGCCAATAATAGTTTATTTGTGCATTAAATTCAACCAACATAGATTAAACAGGTTTAGGGTTAATCTATTGATTGCATGTTAGTCAGAAAGCGCACATGAATACGATCAGAATAAAGTAGAGGCCTATTATTAGGGCAGGTTCAATCTCTTTTAGGTTGGATTTGTACCTTCATCCCCGAACCCTTATTTGGTTCTAGACCTTATGGAGTTGACGATCTCTTGGATCATTAAGGGGTGTAACCTTCACCTCGTGAACGGTTTACAAGTTCCTAAAAAACTTGTTGGCGACTCTTTTGCTCTATCTTCTTCCCTTTTGGACGCCACCGTACTTTAGTGTATGATCACAGTGGTGTTCAAGCTAGTAGGATTAAAGCTTGAAACCTATTCCCTACAGGATGACTTATACAAAGTTAAACCATAATCAGAAGTACCTTCAAGATAACGAATAATTCGTTTCAAAGCACTCATGTGAGCAACCTGAGGAGCATGCATGAACAAGCAAACCTGTTGCACAACATAAGAGATATTCGGACGGGTGAATGTCAAGTACTGTAATGCCCTTCATAAAGAGCGATAAGTAGTAGGATCAGAATAAGGGGTGCCGGATTGAGTGCTCATTTTCCCTTTTGAATCAACAGGAGTCAAAGAGGGATTGCAGTTTGTCATACCTGCTTTCTGAATAATGTCACGAGTATATTTCTTCTGAGAAAAAAATAAACCACTTTTGTTCCGAGTGACAGCAATACCCAAGAAATAACTCAAAGGACCCAAATCCTTCATGGCAAATTCAGAACTTAGTTGAGAAATGACATATTTCCGAAGAGACTCTGAAGAGGTAGTGAGCACAATATCATCAACATAAAGAAGAATGTAAGCAGTGTCATTACCATGGCGATATATGAACAAGGAAGTATCAGATTTGTTGTGAACAAAACCAAAAGAAGCCACAAAATCAGCAAAACGTTGATACCAAGCCCGGGGTGCCTGCTTCAAACCATAAAGAGACTTACGCAAAAGACACACATGATCAGGTCGATTCGGATCTTTGAACCCCAAAGGTTGATACATGTACACTGTTTCATTTAATTTACCATGTAAGAAAGCATTCTTCACATCCAGTTGATGAATAGACCAATCCTTAGCCAAAGCAATACTAAGAATCGTCCTTATAGTTGCCGGTTTTACAACCGGGCTAAAAGTCTCATCACAATCAATTCCCTCTCTTTGAGTTTTCCCATCACCAACTAAACGAGCCTTATATCTCTCAAAAGAGCCATCAGACTTCGTTTTATGCCGAAAAATCCATAGTGAACGAATTACATTCACATTAGATGGTCGCGGGACCAATTCCCAATTACCATTATCAATAAGAGCATCAAACTCTTCCTGCATAGCAAGTTTCCAATTATGGTCACGTAAGGCATGTACGGGATTTTTTGGAACTGGAGATATGGAGGTGGAAGTAAGTAGGGAATGGTTTTGATATTTTGGGTTTGGTTTGACAATCCCATGGCGACTACGAGTGGCCATAGGATGAGAGGGCACGAGATTGAGAGGAGTAGAAGAGATGGGAAGCTCAACCTCACTAAAGTGGTCATCCCCCGCGCTAGTACCCGCTTGTGACCCGGCGGGGATGGCAGTTGGTGGAAAAATA